ATATATATATATATATATATATGGAAAAACATCTAGAGACGAGAAAGCCCTCACAAAGTTTCATGTCCTTAGTTTCTGCAAAAACGTGTAAGACTCCACGTTGCTTTCTGAGCATCCAGAAATATGAAAGCAGGGGGGAATCTCTAAAACACTCCTGACCTCAACGACCTGGTTATATTTCTCAGAAAACCAAATGTAACCATAAAACTCTGCTTACAGACTGAATACCCAGAAAACGCCAATCGCTTACGGTACACTGTGACACTCAGCAGCACAGCAAATGTACAGTTACCCCCATTTCACAGAGGAGGAAAGTAGAGGCACTTCCCAGAGCTCTGGAGGGAGGAACAGAAGTGCAAGGAGAAGCTAACTTGGACCCTGGCTCCAAGTCCATGTTTCTCCTACTCCGCCAGCGTCCTCAAGAGGAACAAGAATGATCAGGAAGCCCACAGGCCATATTCCTGTGCATGGGGTAGGTCCTGGAGCCATACTGGGTGCTGAATAGCAGAGCATCTCTCCTTGGTCTGACCCTGTCTTCAAAAGCTCCCCTCCCACATCAGTGCAAAGAGGACAGCACAGCCCCTGCCGTTCCGGGGGTGTCTTCATTCCAGGCCCTCCGCTCCAGACGGGCATCCACCGCCCCATCAATTATCTGGCTCCTGGAAGGTGGACTTGGCTGGTTCCTGCCCTCCCTCCAGACATACCCAACTTTTTATTTAGTCAGTTCATTCAACGAATATTCACTGAGCACCTACTGCGTGCCAGGCACCGGGTCAGAAACTGGGGAGACAGCAAAACGCAGACCCAGATGTTCAGTTCGAGTGGCTACTAAAATCCTCTCAAGTTTAAACAAAGCGAGGGGGGTGGGCCATGCTACATCTAGAAGAACAGCACCCCGAAGACAGGGCATGCTTAGCACCCCGATGGGTCACAGGGGAGGCCAATGTGCCAGAAAGTTCCTAAATGAGTGCGGTTTGCCTTCCGTTCAACACTGAAGCTGAAAGGGACTCCCCCACATCTGCCTGGCTTTTCAAGCTGATTTAATTTATGGAAAATATCACCCTTCCTATTCCCCCTTTCTTTTGTCAACTCCCAGTGTTAGTGTAATGGAGGAGAAGGAGACTTGGGCTGGGAGCTTGGACGCCAGTGTTCTAGCTGCAGCTCCGTTTCAGTGGTATGACCTTGACCCACCAAGTCATTAACCTCGAGGCTTCAGACTCTCCTGTAAGATGAAGGGGTTGGAACAATGCCTGAAATAATGCCAGTTAAAAGTCTGACCTGGCGCCTTCATTCTACTTGGACAAGGCAAAATGCCTGGAACAGAACCCTTCTGCATGGTTCTTGCTCCACATTGTATTTCTTGCCTTCATTAAAGGTCCCTTAAGCAAAAACCAAACAGACAAACAAAAATGAAAAACAAATTAAAAAACCAAAAGCACAAAAAACAAAAACCAGAGTCTTCACTCTAGAGAACGTCCTGCTGGTCACCAGAGGGGAGGTGGGTGGGGGGTGGGGGAAAACAGGTGATGGGGATGAAGGAGTGCACCTGTCGTGATGAGTACCAGGTGATGGAGGGACATGCTGAATTACTATATTGTACACTTCTTGATAAAGCCTGGACCACTAAGGACTTTAGCTACTGCCACCCTTCGTTGATCACCTGGCATTTCACCGCTCCCTGCCCGCTCACCCATTCTTCACAGAAGCTGGATTCGACCTACTCCGCCGGCACCTACATGACCCCTGGACAGGCCAGGGTGCAAAGCCCGGACCTGTGTTCTCCGACTCGGGCCAGAAATGAAAAGGCACAGTGACTGTAAGCTTCTCTGGTGGACAACATCAAAGCAGCCCCTTTTCCTAGAGGTTCTGAAAACTAGCTACTTTCTATTTCCTATTTCTACCTTTCTTGGTACTGAACAGTTGAGAAAGATCGTGCCCTTTAAAAAGTAGAGAGATCAAGTGGTTCATTTTCGCGATGATGGCGGTCCATGGGGACACACAGTTCAGCGGGAAGGGAGGCTGGGGGGTCGCACGGCTGCCTCTCACGGTGCACCTGAACCATCTATCCTCTGCCCTGGGCCCCCACACCTCCAAATCTCCCTCTCACACCACTTCATACTCAACACTCGGGATTAAGAACAATAGCTAATATCTTTATGCAAGCCTGAAATTTTATTCCCACCTATATTTCAGTTAAGCAAAGAGCGCTACCATGTAAGTTTTAAGTTACTCTGGGTCTTGAAATTGATTCACACAAACCCAAAGTAACACATATTATTATTATTATATACTATTGTGAATAATAGCCCGATTATGGAAGCAGACTGAGTGTCCACTGACTGATGAATGGATAAAGAAGAGGTGGTGTGTGTATATATACCACGGAATATTACTCAGCCCTCAAAAAGGTTGAAATTTTGCCATTTGCAATGACATGAATGGAGCTAGAGAGTATAATGTTATGTGTAACAAGTCAGTCAGAGAAGGACAAATATAATACGATTTCACTCATACGTGGAATTTAAAAAACAAAACAAATGAGCAAAGGGAAAAAGAGAGAGAGAGAGAGACAAACCAAGAAACAAAGTCTTCCCGCTAGAGAACACACGCTGGTGACCAGAGGGGAGATGGGTAAGGGGTGGGGGAAACAGGTGATGGGGATGAAGAAGTGCACCTGTCGTGATGAGCACCGGGTGATGGAGGGAAGTGCTGACTCACTATATCTCATTATATCGTACGCTTATGTAACACTGTATGTCAACTAACCAGAATTTAAATAAAAACTTTAAAAAAATAATAAAACACACGGGTAATAATCGCAGCCCCGCATGCTGTTCCGCTAAATGAGGCAAGAGAATACAGTTTTCATCTTGCAACTGCTGCATCTGAAGAACTAAAGGCCACATTTGGAGTGTCCTTTTGCTTTATTTTCCTCTTCTCATACAAAACTTCTCTTGCCAACGATTTAAATGTTGGGAAAATAACTTCTTAACGATGAATGCCTTCTCCAAGTTCTTTAAGGACACCCACGAATTCTTCTGTGCAATGGACAGCTCGTGTCCAGAAAATTACTAAGACAAGTAAACACAATTTATTCTTATCTTATAAAGACATTAAATTATCTACAAAAGAGACAGAGCGCTCTCCTTTGCAAATATTTCCCAAGTTTCTATGGTGACACTTTCCATTCTTGCTTTTGAGTACGAGTCCCATGACTTCACAGCAAAGGCACACTGAACAGAACCTACGAAGCCACTAATAATCCTTTGCTTTGCTATAAATGTTCACACTGGCAAATGTAGGGATCTCCCAAAATTTATAAAGCAATTAGATACTAAGCTAAGATTTAAACACCCAACTTCCCACACAAAGTAAATTTCTCCTGCTAGGTTATGAATCCCAAGGCAAATGTGAGCTTAGATCTTTTCTCAACACTGACAGGCCCTTTGTTTGTCATCATAGTCCAAAATTACTCAGGGTAGAAATGGATTTCCTGGCTGCTTCTCAAAATGTTGACAACAATACTACTAATAAAATACCATGTTACGTGTCTATATGCCTGTCAAACTCAACACAAATGCAAATCCATGACATACAGAACCAAGAAAATTTTTTCAATTAAAGCCTTTGAGTGACAGAAAGGAAATCTAGACTAGCACTGGCAACTAATAGGGGAGAAAAAAAAAATCTCTGGCAATTTTAACAAAGGACTTGGCTCTTTGCTTCCAATATACCTGGTGAAATTGATCAGAATGAAAACCAGCAATCTCTGGAAGAAATTAATATTTCTACCTTGATGACTTTAATTCCATAAGGATCCAACATTTTTTGTTCTGAAGATGCCCATCAAAAGGTTGGTAAGTCTAATATGGGCAGCAGGGGGATGGGAAGAAATGAGCAAAAGGCCTAGGAATTTGAACTATAGTATATCCCCTCTCTCCAAGCTAGATGACCTTGGACAAGTAGCTTAACCTCAGTCTCAAATTTTCTCTGCTGGAAAAGGAAATATTCACACCAAACATGGAGCACTTTTTGTAATCAAAACAAACAACACAGCAGATGTAAAATCACCTGGCACATAGTAAACATTCAAGAATGGTTAGTTTGTGAACAGGGAGATTTTTGCCCAGTGAGGTACATCAGGAAGCATAATGCATTCTTCTATCCAATTAAGTCTGTAGAAAGTCATTTGATAGGGCATTTGGAGCTAATTAAAATCCATGACATGCCAGAAAAAAAGTATGATTTCCTCTTTGCTATTTCCAGGTCAAGACAGATTATATAATAGCATTTGTTTGGCTAGCCGGATGGATGGATGGATGGATGAAGGAGATGGGGGGGCAAATAGGTGGGAGGCTGGGAGGCTGGAGGGTGAGTAGATGTATAGGTGGGTAAGTGGATGGGTGGATGGATGGACGGACGGAGGGAGGGATATGGATGAATGGAGACAGATGGATAAATGAATGGATGAGTGGGGGGGGTGGATGAATGGAGGATGTATGGGCAGACAGATTTTGGAACCTACTTCCAAGACTGTCAAAATTCCTAAAGAAAAAGGGAGAATATGACCAAGTCCCAGTCCATGGTGTCTTTCATTTGTGAATCAGTGATTCCAAAGGAATGAGATCAACTTCAGCACAGCCTCTATGGCTTTCTCCTTTTAGAACACTATTTACTGAGGTCTTGAGTTCTATTTCCCATAGAAGAGTATTCTGAGGTTAAAATGCTTAACATTCACATACACATGTGTGAATGATACCACGGAGCTAACAAACTCTCCAGAGACACATCCAGGAAAATATCACATCTTTTACCAAAATACTTTGCAGCAGCAAAAGCTTTGGCCCTTACCTGAAGGTGGGTCCATTCTGTATTTATTCTCTTGACACCAACCAACTGGTCGAAGTCTGTAATCCAAGTAAAACAACCACTGGTCATAGGATTCAGTGTCCTCCAATCCCACATAGCGAAGGCGTAATCTTCCTCCAACATTTTCAATCACACTAACTATCCAGTACTGAAAAGGGCTCTGAGAATCCTGAAGTTCTATTAAGGAATCAACTGTAATGAGGTCTATAGGGCCTTTCCCTCGCAGAGGCTGTTTAAACAGAAGCAAAACTCCTTATTTTAAACTTTATTTTAAGGTTCTCATGGAAACAGATGACAGCAGAAGATAATATTTTTTCACACCATCATCCAAGCTACTGGCAAACAGTCTGGTGTTCCCCTCCACCCCCATCCTGTTCCACACACACGTTCATCCTACCCAGCCCTCTGTCCAACAACAAGAATCACAAGTAAACAGAACATAACAGTTTGTTCTCAATTCTCACCAAACAAATCACCCTTCCCAGATAAAACTGCATTTGTTAGAAATAAGCATGCTTTTAAGAAGAGTTACACCAAATTGGCCTCCTGCTAGAAAATACGTGGTAGCTAAATGTCTATTTTCCCATAGACTATGGGGCTATCAACTTACCCCATGACTCAACAGACATTCATCTTATAATGTCTACCACACTAATGATTAAGACTCTCTCATACTTTGGGCAAAGCATGAATACGTGTCAATGACATGTATAATACACATTAATGATCAGCTACATTAGACAATTATGTAAAGTTATTTCTACACTTGATCCCATAGTTGGTTTGGAAAATGTGTGTGTGTGTGTGTGTATATATATATATATATATATACACACACACATATATATATGTAATTACTGCCCCGTATAAGAAACCTTCTCAGCACGTTAGCACGTGAAAAGGGTGATTGTTCAGTCAGCCTTGTAGGCAAATATGTTAAAAAAAAAAAAAAAGAACAGAGTAAGACATTGTGTCCTTCTGAAAGGGTGAAGAATCATCATTTTGATTTGTTAACCAAACAAATTAAGAGCCATTAAGATAAGCAAATACACCAGGCAAAATCTTCACAGAATAAAACCGGATAACTGTTTATTAGACAGTAGTGTTCCAAAAGTCAATGCCAAATTCATAGTTAACGTTAAGAGAATAATCATACCATCACAATCCACATCGTATTCCTGTTATTTACTATGTTTCCCCTTTTTTGGGGGGGAGCATTCCTCAAACAGATTTGGTAACTCAATGATTACTTATAACAGTACAGTGCTCCTTCTGTTCTATTATATATAGTAAATATTAAAATGCTTTATCATAAAATTAGTGTCAAATGAACTATCAAGATGGCAGATTAAACTGTTTTTTCTTTGGTACCTTAAGCACACCTTAACCACACTGAAATATGATTAGCCAGTTCTCCTCTTGTTTTCATAAGGCACGCTAATTCGATTATTACTCAACACATGTGTGTTGTTAGCATGAGGTTATGCATCCAGAATGGAATAGTCCATGGAACCATTTACCAACATGCTCCAAGACTATAAAAGAGCACAAATATGCTTTGTGGTCACCTCTACAAAACAGGTCTTCTCCAGGATTTTATTTATATCCGCAAATATAGGACAGAGGCTTACATGTATAGGATAGTGGAAAGATATCCTAACGTAGTATTACTTAAAAATGTGTTCACACAGAAGCCAATTTTCCACTTATTGATTATACCACAGGTGAAGACACTTCGGTGCTATGAGAATCATTAACCTAAACAATTCAGGAAAAAAACAGGAAGTTAGGCTCTCTGGATAGATATATCCACATGTACACGTGTACCTGCCGAAGGATATAGGCAAAGGTGCTCATGTAACCGTGAGGCCTCAGACACAGAATAGCTGAATAACAACAATACATACACCTTCCAGGAGGTTGGCAGGTGCCGTCCGGGAACCAGTCAAATCACGAATGAGGAATTCTGTCCAGTCTGTGTACTTCTCTTTGATTGCTGGCGAGACAAAAAAAAGAAGAAGAAAACAAAACAAAACACTTCAGCACAGCAGGGGAGTATCAGGTTAAGTTTAAAATCAGCACTTTTCTGTACACATGTGTTATTTCGATAGTTTTCTTCATTTTAAGCACCGCGGTGAAGAGCTAACAAGGCGACAAGAAATCCGTCCCCAACGGGTGAATTTACCCCTACCGATTTTGCTGGGCATCAGACATTAAAGAATAGGGGGCCCTGAAGTTTTATGAGAATCTACTCAGAAAGTTCCGTGAGTAAAAAGAAGATATCATAAAGCACAGAATTCGGGGGTGGGGGGAGGGGTTCCAAGAAGGAAGAGATCAGTGAGAGACAAAAGTCAGAGGACAGTTTCCAGGTGGAAAAATAGCAGCAGGCTCTGAATTACACAAAAGGATTTTGCAGGTGGAGAAGAGGAAGAAGGGACTATCCGACGGAGACACACAGCAGAGGAGAGCGCGCCAGGGAGGGAGGAAGTGGACGCAGGCAGCACAGTCATCGGCCGACTGCGGCCCGGTCTGAGCACAGGACTCTGGTGAACAATGCCAAGCGACAGCCCCAGAAAGCAGGCACATTTAATCAACAGGAAATCTCCGCATAAAACGGATCTGAAAATAGCATAGAGGCTCAAATGGAAACAAAGAGGCTAATGGCAGAGAAACCCAGTAAGAAGCTGCTACAGCTCTCCAAGGACAAAAGGGATGGGGCCCCAAACCGTGGGGACCATGCCGCGAGCAAGGAAGGGATGTATCTGAGACATTTTGAAGAAAGAAATTTCAGACGTTGGAAGCCAACAATCTCCAAGTGCTTAGAACCCGAGACTAGAGAAACAGGTAAATTCCTGGCACATCCCCCGAAGTACAGATCTCCAAAGGCTTCACCAGGTGACGTCCACACCCAGGAGAGGCCCTGAGCCTTCCTGGGGCATCCCAGGCTCCACGGAGAAGCATGACCCAGATTCGCGTGCACCCATTCTGTGGATCACGTGGAGAGCCAGCAGGCTGGTGAGCATGGCCTAGAATACATCCAGTACTTAGCCTCCAGGAAAGGTTCCAGACTCGAGTGGTTTGCACGTTGCTTTGTCCTGCAGAGGCATGATGCAACCATTTCTTGCTCAAGCCTCGAGGAAAAGAGTTATCACAGAAGGCAACAAGGCTATAATGATGTAGAGGGAAAAGCAGAGTCATGGCATGAGAGGGAACTGGGCTCCACAGTGGGCTCTGCCATCACTGGCTATAACTTTGAGTAATTTACCCGATTTATCGATTTATCATACACTCTTTCCTCATCAGTGCAACGGTGCTAACACCATTTTTGCTTATGGGCTGCTAGGAGGATTAAAGAAGATACACACATCAGTAAAATGTAACCATACCGGGCACATACCAGGCAATTAATAAGTAGCAGCTCTTGTTTTGTTGTAAGTGTGTATTAAATTATTACACAGCTCACCAACTATTTATTGTTCCTTCCCACAAATTCCAGACTGAAACTGGGAACGTGCATTGGCATGATCACCAACAGAAGGGGAAACAGTAGCAACACCTGCTATTCTGATCACTAACCTGCATCTCAGTCAATATCCCTCCCTCACCCGTTAAGGATCGTAAAACCAAGAGCAAAATCAAAGTGGAAGAATTCAGGCAACATAAAGGGATCCAGACAAAGCCGCAAAGTCCAGCTTTCAGCCATACAGTGTCCTAACCACGGCCCTGCTTAACAACCAGCAACTCACCCATTCATCAGCTTCTACCACTAGACTTTTTGCTCAAATAAAATACCATCTTCCTTATTTTCTACATGCACGCTCACGAGGTGATGCATATGTTTGGGGCAGGAACTGTTACTGTGTCCTTTCCGTCATTAAAAAGTGTAGCCGTCATTTTTCAATGCTATACCCATTTCTAAATTAGCCCCTTGCTGTGTACTAAATGATTTGTGTTCCCCCAAACTCATACTGAATCCTAATGCTCAATGCAACTCCATCAGGAGGCGGGAACCTTGGGAGATAATTAGGTTTAGATGGGGTCATGTGGGTGGAGCCCTCTTGATGGGATTAGTGCCCTCATAAATGAGACCCTGGAGAGCTTCCTCAACCCTCCCACCGCGAATTCTGGCAGAAGGAACCAACTCTGAGCCAGGAAGTGGAATCCGCTGGGGCCTTATCTTGAACTTCCAGCCTCCAGAACTGTGAGAAATAAATTCCTGCTGTTTGTAAGGCCCAAAGAGTGCGGTTTTTGTTGTTGTTGTTGTTGTTGTTGTTGTTACAGCAGGTGAATGGATGGAGACAGCCCTCATGAGTGCCCACAATTACTGAGAAGACCAAAAGGCAATGGCATACAAGACAAATGAATTAAAATTCGTATTCACCTTATACTTTACAAGCTTACTCTGTGTCTTGTGATCATCATAACAGTACTCTGAGGGGGATGTTCCTAACTAACTTTTCCCAAGTTCAGAGAATAGACAAGGTCAGAGCCAGCCTCAAACTCAAGTATGCAAACATCAATCCTACTAGGAGCCTTTCCGTGGGAATCTTATGATTTTCAAAGCTTTTGCATACAGATAAATCAGTAATTTAAACTGTAGGCATGACAGAGATAAAATGAAAATGACTGTCTAACCAAATGTTTCAAGATGAAGACAATATACAACTTCACCCAGTAAATATGCATTCCCTATCTCTTTACCAAAAAATGACAATCAGCATAGTTGAGTGAAAAATGGTCCCATACTCGAAAGACTTTATGTCCATATCCACTACAAGAAGAAAGTTCAATTGTTCACTTAAGGGTTGGTTCTAACATTCACATAATCAAACTGAACATTTAAATTAAAAATTTTTGAATATGCCATCACCCTATGAAGACATCATGCAATGTTGAAATTGAACTGGGTTGAGTCACAGTAAGAGAACACTAGAGATGCTTCTGAAATTTATACCTTGTGAGCCCTCCAGTCCAGAGGCTCTATAACTATCCATTAATGTCTCTACACGAAGCTCTGAAGCAATCTTTTATGTGCCACAGAATATCTGGACAAATTACTCTCCCTGAAAAAATGTATCTTAGCTGTAAAGACAGACCAACAACTTTTGATTAAGAAGTAGAAAGGGAATAGTTCTCAGGAATACTGTTACTTTTTTTAAGATTTTATTTATTTGACACAGAGAGAGAGAGCACAAGCGGGGGAGTGGGAGGCAGAGGGAGAAGCAGGCTCCCCGCTGAGCAGGGAACCCCATGCAGGACTCCATCCCAGGATCCTGGGATCATGACCTGGCTGAAGGCAGATCATGACCTGCCTGAGCCACCCAGGTGTCCCAAATACTGTGACTTTTAAAAGAAAAACTGTTTCAGTCAACATTTAGTTCTCAAAACTCTAAATGTTCAAATTAAAATCTATTGCAGAAAATACTGCCATATATATATAAAACTATGCCTAACCAGTCTACAATTTTCAATGGACTTATTTTAAGTAATACTGAGTTCAGTTAAATTTTAGTATAATAAAAATTGCTTAGAAATTCCTTAGAATTCATTGCAATAGAAGCTGATCTGTACTCTCCTGGGGGTCCACATAAGTTTCTAATTAGAAATTCTAAGACTATAAATTTTCATTTACTACAGAACATCTCTCTTCAAAGACTCAAAATCAACTAGGATGGATGTAAGAACTATCTTTCTCAAATACGATAAAAATTCCTTGCCCTACGGTCATTATCTTTTCCATCAGAGGATACACACATTAAATTTCGGAAGACCTACAACATACCACACACCCAATAACATCGAATGCAAACTCTACAGCAAGAAAGAAATGATTAAAATGAAAACAAAGTAGATGGCTAAAAGTTTGTCCATAACATTGAAATCACTTCCCCATGTTTTTAACTTATACAGACACACTCCTGAGAGTTCATAAGATTCTTTTTTTTTTAAGATTTTATTTATTTGTTAGAGAGACAGAGAGAGAGAGATAGCACAAGCAGGGGGAGTGGCCGGCAGAGGGAGAAGCAGGCTCCCTGCTGAGCAATGAGCCCGATGTGGGACTCGATCCCAGGACCCTGGGATCATGACCTGAACAGAAGGCAGACGCTTAACCGCCTGAGACACCCAGGTGTCCCTCATAAGAACATTCTTTATTCGTAAGAAGAATAAAATCAGGATCTTTGTACAACCTTGTCATGAACATGTCATTTTCAAGGTCCTATTCAGTTTTAATATTATATAAACTTAGCATAGATAATATATATACTTTATTCAACTTTGCTTTTTAAAAAATCCAAGTTACATTCCTATTTTAACACCTCGTTTTGGGGAGGAACCCCTCTCTCACTGAAGGAAGCGATCATGAACGTGAGTTTCAGAAAAAGAAAACACACACACACCCATGCTTTTTTGCAAAGACATTCAGAGATAGCCCCCAAATCCCACAACAGCATTCCGGGGATTACAGAGCTATCTATAAAAAGGGTTCCAAAGAGGGGTGCCTGGCTGGCTCAGTCCTTAGAACATGTCACTCTTGATCTCTGAGTCATGAGTTCGAGCCCCACGCTGGGTGTAGAGATTACTTTAAAAAAAAAAAATGGTTCCAAACAAAAGGTAGAAGATCATCATCATTTTTTTTTTCAGGATTTGGGAAAACACCAGTCATGTTGGACTTCCAGGCCCATCAAGCACACGCAAACACAGAGAATTCCTTAGTTCTCAAGGAGGCCGTCTGCTTGGACACTGCTCTGTGGTACAAATAGCTGCCCAACAGAGCTGCCCATTCGGGCGGATCCTGAACACTGAGACCCGGGCTGAAGTCAGAGGGACATACTCCTCTCCTCTCTGTCCGTGTCACCAGGTTGAAAAGACAGGTCCATGGGGAAGACAGGCTACGTCAGGCCTTTCCACTCACCGGAAAAGACGGGGAGAATAATTACAACAGGCAGTGAGCCACTTTCACTCAGATCTACTCTAGGTAAAAGAAAAGCCAAGCAT